GCTCTACAGTCAACAATCTCAGCACCAGCAGCCAGGAAATTAAAAGGCGCATTGCCATGGGAAACTCTGCTGTTAGGAACCTCTCCAAAGTACTAAAGAGCAATGGTGTCACTCTGGAGACTAAGGTGTGTCTGATACGGGCCATGGTCTTTGCAATCACTTGTTATGCTTCAGAGAGTTGGATGATGACTAGGGAGGACAGAAGGACAATTGATGCCTTTGAGCTGTGGTGCTGAAGAAGAGTATTGAATATACCATGGACTGCCAAGAAAACAAACAGATTCACCCTGGAGAGGGTTAAACCGGGCTGCTCCTTGGAGGCAAGGATTTTGGGGATTCGTCTGACATCCTTTGGACATGTTGTGAGGAGAGACCTGTCCTTGGAGAGGGACATCACGCTTGGTAGGGTGGAGGGACAGCGCAGGAGGGGAAGGCCCTCTATGAGGTGGATTGATTCAGTGACTGGGATAATTGGGATGGGAGTGTCGGACACAGTGCGATTGGCACAGGACAGAGCAGAGTTTAGGGCTGTTGAACAACAACCACCACCATAAAGTATATTTTCAAAATGCTGCTGCTATCCCATCAGCTCCCCAAGCTCCTGGTTCAGGACCTCTGTTTCCTGATACGACTCAAGATGTATTCGAAATAACAAGCTTTAAGTAACCTTTAAGCGCCGTGTTCTTGGCCTTACACCAGGCTAAACAGCAGAATTTAACACAGTGGGGACCAAAAGCTTCCCCATTCTATTCAAGATATGCTTCCTGATCAGGACTTTTCCTCAAAGATCCTAGTTGTGTTTTGGTGTTTTTATTTGTTTTGTTTTATCTGTTGCATCAGTCCTTATTGTATAAGACAATAGAGGAATTGAAGCAAGTTCTAGTTTCTTATGAAATGCACTCTACAAATGTGAGAGGTATTTTACAAGGACTGGCTACTGAATTTCGGCTTATTCCTTATGACTAGGAAGTAATGGCCAGGGTGGTATCAGAACCAGGCGCATTCCTACAATTTAACACTTGATGTGCTGATGAAGTGACTAAGAAAGAGAGACTGAATCTCGCCAGAAAACCCCAGGAAATATGACAGGTGACTAACTGATGGGCAAAGGCTAATGGCTTGGAGTGTGAGCTCAACAAAGGGGGAAGAAAATGTGCAACAATGACAAAAAATAATAATTTAAAATATTCTACTTAAAAGCTAACAAACGATCTGAAAAAAAACAAAACAAAACACAAAAAAAACCAAACAACCCAAAACAAACCAGCAAACAACAAAACACACCAGAGTTTCTATCCTACGTCATCAATTTAAGGTTGAGAAAGTTTTTATCCAAGTCTCACCATCTCCTTGTTCTCCTTTCTGCAGTTCTAAGGCTAATCGCTTGGAGTGTGAGTTCAAATCCAGTATGAAGATGCAGTGACTGTTAAGACTTTGCCATATGCAGGCTTGGGATAACGTGGAGATTTCTGGGACAGGAGATCAGCCTTTTGTTAAAACAACCCAGTCAGATCATGAGAAATACAGAGACTTTCGTCAAGACTAAAGGATACCATTAACACAGCTATCTATCAGCCAGCGGTTTGTGATCTTTGGTTAAAAACCTTTGCCTATGAGAATGCTACCTCTGAGTGTAAAAAGGCTCTGAGGCCGCTAAAAACTCAGAATGCCTCTTTAGATGAATACATTCGTGGTTGCATGGATATTGGAACTAACATCCATCAGGTCAGCTTATTGGCAGCAACTTTAAAAGGGAACTTTAAATTCTTTTCAGACCAGAAGTTTTAAAGTGTGGAACATCTAGGCATTTACATAGCGACTGTCACGCAGAAAAATTTGACAATCCAAGCAGCAATAGATCTGAGACTTGTTCCATGCTGCCTGAGAAAATGCTGCACTGGACGTAGCACACCCTGAAAACGGGAGTCTTGTTCCCAAATTGTTCTTGTTATGTGCCACTGAGTCCCTTGCGACTCACAGCGACCCTACTATGTACAACAGCTATAAACCCTGCTCTATTCTTGCCAATCTTCTATTGTCTCCGACATGCCTATCCCCATTACCCCAGGGACAGAATCAATCCGTCGCATCGAGGGAGTGTGTAAAAGAAGAACTAACATTTATGGGCCTATTGCTAAAGATGCTATAGCATTGATTATTTGATGATAGAAAGAAGTAGTCTAATATGTAAAGGAATATTTGTACATATTGACATGATAGATCGAGATTATGATGGGAAAATAATTATAATGATGTTGTCTCAACAACATCAAATCTTGTGAAAAGGCCAGAGAGAGTAGCTCAATTACTGCTCCTGACTCGTATAAAACAAAGGGCAGCTCCAATAAAAAAAGACAAGTGGGGCTTGGCAGTACTGGGACTAATGTCTATTCGAATACTATCATCAGTGATATCCCTCCTCAAATGACTGTCAAATTCGAAGGATATGAAATGCAATGATGAATTGATACTGGTGCTGATGTATCTATTATTGTTACTTCTCACTGGCCTAGTGTGTTACAATTAAAAGGTGTCTCTGTTACTTTGACAGGAATAGCAACTATGACAGGAGTAAAACCAAAGTGAATGTATGTTAGGATGTAAATGACTTGAAGGACACATAGCAAAGTTACAACCTTGCATTGCACATGTTGCAATTACATTACAAAGAAGACATCTGTTAGC